AACAAAAAAACAAAAAACACAAAAGATAAATGAAAGACAAAGCTGGCTCTTTGAAAAGATAAAATTGATAAGACATTAGTGAGATTAACCAAGCCAAGAGAGAAGATCCAAATAACCTCAATTAGAAAGGAAATGGGAGCTATTGCAACTGATACCACAGAAATACAAAAGATCATTCAAGGCTACTGTACTGAACCACCTTTATGCACACAAACTGGAAAACCTAGAGGAGATGGATAAATTCCTGAAAATATACAACCCTTCTAGATTAAACCAGGAAGAAATAGAAACTCTGAACAGACCAACAACAAGCAGCAAGACTGAAATGGTAATTAAAACTGCCAACAAAAAAAGTCCTGGACCAGATGGATTCAGAGCTGAATTCTACCATCCAAAAAAGAATTGGTACCAATCCTACTGACACTGTCCCACAATACAGAGAAAGAGGAAACCCTCACTAATTCATTCTATGAAGCTAGTACCACTCTAATACCAAAACCAGTAAAGTACATAACAAAAAAAGAGAACTACAGGCCAATATCCCTGATGAACACAGATGCAAAAATCCTCAACAAAATATTAGCTAACCAAATCCAACAGCATTACCAAAAAGATAACACACCATTATCAAGTGGGTTTCATTCTAGGGATGCAGGGATGGTTTAACATATACAAGTCAATAAATGTGATAGACCACATAAACAATTAAAAACAAAAATGATCATCTCAACAGACACAGGAAAGTCATGTGACAAAATCCAGTATCCATTTATAATTAAAACACTCAGTAAAATTGGCATAGAAGGGACATGACTTAAGGTAATAAAAGCCATCTATGACAAACCCACAGCTAACATTATACTGAACGGGGAAAAGTTGAAAGCATTTCCCCTGAGAACTAGAACAAGACAAGGATGCCCAGTCTCACCACTTCTATTCAACATAGTACTGGAAGTCCTAGCCAGAGTGATCAGACAAAACAAGGAAATAAAGGGCATCCAAATCAGTAAAGAGGAAGTCAAACTGTTGCTGTTTGCATATACCAAGAAAACTCTAAAGATTCATCCAAAAAGCTCCTAGAGCTGGCAAAAGAATTCAGTAAAGTTTCAGGATACAAAATTAATGTACACAAATTGGCAGTATGGCTATACACCAACAGTGACCAAGCTGACAATCAGATCAAGAACGCAACCCCTTGGACTATAGCAGCAAAAAAATAAAATACTTAGGAATACACCTAAGGAAGTAAAAGACTTCTACAAGAAAAACTACAAAACACTGCTGAAGGAATCACAGATGACACAAACAAATGGAAAACACATCCCATGCTCATGGATGGGTAGAGGAAATACTGAGAAAATGACCATACTGCCAAAAGCAATCTACAGATTCAATACAATTCCCATCAAAATATCACCATCATTCTTTGCAGAACTAGTAAACACAATCCCAAAATTCACAGGAAACCAAAAAAGAACACACATAGCCAAACCAAGACTAAGCAAAAACCAAAACCAAAACAAACCCCCAAAACCCACAAATCTGGATGTACCACATTACCCAAATTCAAACTAAACTAAACAGCATGATAATGGTATGAAAATAGGCATAAAGACTAATGAAACAGAATAGAGAACCCAGAAATAAAGCCAAATACCTACAGCCAACTGCTCTTTGACAAAGCAAACAAAAACATAAAGTGGAGAAAGGACACCCTATTCAACAAATGGTGCTGGGATAATTGGCAAGCCACATATATGAGATTGAAACTAGATCCTCATCTCTCATCTTATACAAAAATGAACTCAGGATTAGATCAAAGACATAAATTTTTTTGGACCAGAAATCATAAACATTCTGGAAGATAACCTCAGAAAAACCCTTCTAGACATTGGCTTAGGCAAAGACTTCATGACCAAGAACTCAAAAGCAAATTCAACAATAACAAAGAGAAATAGATGAGACTTAATTAAACTAAAAAGCTTTTGCACAGCAAAAGAAATAATCAGTAAACAGACAACCCGCAGAGTGGGTGAAAATCTTCATAAACTACGCATTTGACAAAGGTCTAATATCCAGAATCTATCAAAAAACCCAAACAAATCAGCAAGAAAAAAAACCAAACAATTCCATCAAAAAGTGGGCTAAGGACATGAATAGACAATTCCCAAAAGAAAATACACAAATGTCCTACAAACATATGAAAAAATGCTCAACATAACTAATTATCAGGGCAATGCAAATCAAAACCACAATGAGATACCAACTTACTCCTGCAAGAATGGCCATAATAAAAAAAACAAAAAATAACAGTTTTTGGCATCAATGTGGTAAAAAGGGAACACTTTTACACTGCTGCTGGGGATGTGAATTAGTATAACCACTATGGAAAATGGTGTGGTGCTTCCTTAAGGAACCAAAAGTAGATCTACCGTTTAATCCAGCAATCCCACTGCTGGGTATCTATCTACACAGAGAAAAAGAAGTCATTATATGAAAAAGGCACTTGAACACACATTTATAGCAACACAATTTGTAACTGCAAAAATATACAATCAGCCCAAATGCCCATCAATTAACAAGTGAATAAAGAAAATGTGGTATGTATAATATAGACACACACCATGGAATACTACTCAGCCACAAAAAGTAATGAAATAATGGCATTCACAGCAACGTGGGTGGAGTTGGAGATCATTATTCTAAGTAAAGTAACTCAGGAATGGAAAACCAAACATTGCATGTTGTCACTTATGGGTGGGAGCTAAGCTATAAGGATGCAAAGGCATAGAATGATGCAATGAACTTTGGGAACTCGAAGCAAAGGGTGGAAGGGGGTGAGGGATAAATGACTACACATTGGGTACTGTGTACGCTGCTTGGGTGAGTGGTGCACCCAAATTTCAAAAATCACTACCAAAAAGCCTATCCATGTAAACTAATACTACCTGTTCCCCTAAAAACCTATTGAAATAAAAAAAAAAAAAGAAAAACTCAAAATGGATCAAACACCTAAATATAAGACCTAAAACTATAAAATTCTTAGAACATTGAACAAAAGAGCTTCATAACATTATATTTGGCAATGATTTCTTGAACGTGACAACAAAGGCAGAGTCATTGAAAGAAAATATTGGCAAATTAGATTTCATGAAAAAATTTTAAATTTGTGCATAAGACCCTATCAACAGTAAAAAACACAACCACAGAATGGGTGAAAATATCTGCAAATCATGTATCTGATAAGAGATTAGCATCCAAAATATATAGAAAATTCCTAAAACTCAACCAAAAAAAAAGTCAACCTGATTCAATAGCATGCAAAAGACTCAAATAGACATCTCTCCTAAGAAGACACACGAATGGCCAGTAAGCACATGAAGATACTCAACATCTCTAATCATTAGCAAAACAAATCAAAACTACAATGTGATGCTGCCTTATACCCATAAGAATGGCTACCACCAAAAATCAGAAAATACCAAGTGTTGGAGGGAACGTGGAGAAATTGGAACCCTTGTATACTGTTGATATGAAAGTAAAATGTTAATGCTGCTGTGGAAAACAGTATGAAAATTCCTCAAAAAATTAAAAATAGAATTATCACATGATCCAGCAGTTCTACTTCTCGATATATATCCCTTGAGAGCAGAGTTTCAAGAAGGTACTTGTACACTCATGTTCACAGTAGCAGTATTCACAAGTGCTAAAATGTGAAGTAAACCAAGTGTTGACTGAAGGATGAATGAATAAACAATATTGGTATTTACATAAAATGGAATATTATTCAGCCTTAAAAAGTAAGGATATTCTGACATATGTTACAAAACGAATGAATCTTGAGGACATTTTGCTAAATGAAATAAGCCAATCACAAAGAGACAAAGAATGCACAATTCCACTTATATGAAGTACTCTGAAGTAAGGAAAATCAGCGATAGAATAGAATTTTGGTTTCCAGGGCCTGTGGAAAAGTGAGAATGGAGAGCTATTGTTTAAATGGATGTAGAGCTTCAGTTTTACAAAATAAAGAGTTCTGGAGATAGACAGCAGTGATGGTTGCACAACAATATAAATGTACTTAATACCACTGATCTGTAAACTTAAAAATGATGATGATGGTAAACTTTATATGTATTTTATCACAATTTTAAAAAATTGAAAAAAAGTATCAAGGATAACAATGTTGATTTCCTCCAAATTAACCTGTATGTAAAGTAATCCCAGCTAAAACACAGGAAGATTTTTAAAAATTATATAACTTGGCAAAAAGTATTCTCAAACTTTGAACCAACAAAAATGTGAGTGAACTTGTGAAATTCTGAAAAGGGGCATTGTGGGAAGAGGTGTATTAATCTCATCAGATCCATTTTAAGTTATAAAAAGATTTTTAAAAATTAAATAATATGGCAAAAATTATTCTAAATGTTATCTGGAAAAACAGGTGAGTATAACCGGAAAATTCTTAAAAGGGGAACTTGGGGGAGAGGAAGAGACAAAGTTTACTACCTATAAAAATATATTACCTTAAAAAAAGGTAAAGTAATGAAAACAATTTGATATTTAGACTGAAAAGACTGAGTCTGTTTAAAAAAATGCATTTGTTAATACTAAAGACAATGTGTTGAGAAACTGTTCTCTGCAATCAGACTGTTAAAAACTATGTTGTTTGAAATTATATAAAGTGAGAATGGAACATCCCACTCTTGCACTGATGGTGGATCATTATGAAACAGAAGCAGCCTCAATTTGCAATGCAGAGCTTCAGATAAAGGGGTTTCCAGACATAACATTCCACATGTATTTTGTAGTCTCCAGGGAATCAGAATCCTGAGTCAGCTTCTTAGCCTAGGCCTGATGTTTACTAACCCTTGAAACACAGTCTTGCTGTGCTTTAAGCTTATCAAATATTGTTGCATTTAAACTTTGTCCAAATTCCACCATTCTCCAAAATCCTATAATAACCCTGGTTCCTTCTTTAGTGAAATGCTGGCATTTCCTTTGCTGTGCAAGTCTCCCTCGCTGCAGCAAGCTAATTAACCTTTGTCAGCCTACAGATGTGTCCCGGTGGTCTTTACCAGATGGATTTTATAAAGAGACTTTATCAGGATGAAACAAAGAGTCTATGAAAAACAAAAGTTCATTTGGAAATTTAATACATAATAGCACTTCAAATCAAGAAAAAGATGGCTTATTGAAGAAATGGTATTGAATTAATTAATCTTTCGAGAAAAAAACAAAACCAGCTGGATCCTTAACTTTCTGATAACAGTTCCAAATGTTTCTAAGATTTCAGTATTTCAGAAAATGGATTTAAAACAAAACTGGAAGAAAATATAGTTCTGCATTTTTGTATTACGAATTGAGATCTCTCCTGAACTCGGAAGCTATGACTATTAAAAAACCATGAATTTATTCATTGGATAAATTTCTGGCAATGAAGTCGCTGGTTAAAAGGTCTATTTCTTTATGAAATGTATTTTTTAATGTACAACAAAAAGTACCAAAAAGTATCATAAATAATAAAAAAAGATCAATAATTAACCAAATATAAAAATAGATAAAGAAAATAAAAGATTCACAGAGAAAAACGGTCAACGATGTTCAAATTTCACTCACAAAGAAGGGTAAATCAAATGAAAAGATATTATTTTTAACTTAACATATTGGCAAAACTTTTAAAGTGTATTAACAGCTGTCATTGACACAGATATGAGAAAACGGAGAGTCCTATATTCTTTCACGCAATATAAACTTTTACTGTCTTTTGGAGGAGCATTTCACATCTTTTAAAATTTTTAATTATGCCTTGATCCATCACTTCATGATCAGAAATTTATTTTACAGATACAATCATAGAAGTCAGCCAAGATGCTCATGACAGCCATAACCATAAGATGTTTGTCTGTTGATTGAGGAACTAGTTTAAAAAAAAAAAAGATACTGCAGCATAGAATACTCGTAGCTGTTAAAAATAATGATCTACATGTGCTGATGAAGGAAAGTCTTTGTGCTTTTGATAAAGGTTACTTTTCATTGTTAATAAGGTGTACTGGGTATTTTTTTAAGCATCAGAAAATGTAAAGAAAACAAAAGGAACCCAAACAAATGAAAGACAGAGAAAACCATATACATACAGAAGAGTAAATTTTCTTTACCATCTCTACCACTATCTCTCCCCAAAAGTAACTGCTTTCGTATTGTTGGGTAATGCCTATCTCATCACACATGTATGTTGAGCTTTTAATTTACATCAAAGATCATGCTTATCCATTAGTCTGCATTTTTCCCCTTCATTTATTTTTTCCATAACACAGTCATTCATTTTAACAACTGTATAAAAGGTTTATTTTTTTAAGACAAAATACAAAAATCTTTCTATTATGATCTCACTTGGCTTTTTAGATGCTTCTGTATATACTAAAAAATCTATTAAGATATATATACATACGATATTTAACAAGAGCTATCTCTGGGAACTACTACTGGGTGGCACAAGCAAGAAAGAATTTTTTTTCATTTTATAACCTTTTGATGTTTTAATTTTGCATCAGGTACAGACATTATTTTTCTGATAAAACTTAAAGGGAGGCTATTTTTATCTACAGAGTAAAATATAATAAAAAGTAAAGTCCACTAATTTCTCCATATCTGTTAAAATGATCTCTTTCTCCTTTCAGATTTATCCAAGTTTCAGATTCACATACACAAATGCCTGCTAAACACTTCCACCTGGAACATAGGCATCTCTAATTCAACACACCCAAAGTGACTCATTACCTTCCTCTTCTCCTTTTACCTTAATTACTGGTAATTATCTAAATTACTCACCAATGGGTTCCTATTTCACTCAAAGCCCTAAGATTATCTAAACTAAAAAGTACAGACACATTCTGAATGCTTCCCTTATCTTCACCCCAAATTCAATTACCAAGTCTTGCCAACATTACTTTCTAAATATTTTTCTAATCCATTGTCTCCTCTCTATTTCTATTATTTATCCTATGTCAGACTCTCCTCTCTTCCCCAGGCTATTAAAATATCTAACTTGTATGACACAAATGCTATTCCTCTTTAGCTCATAGCCCTTCTGTCACCAGAATGACCTCTCTAAAATGAAAAGCTGACCATGTCACTCCACAAATCCTTTCATGGAACCCCACTGCTTACAAGACAAAAACTAAACTTTTTTTAAACATGATATATATAAAGGCTATGATCTAGAGCCTGTCCAAGTTTCCAGCCTCATCTTTTGCTATTCTGTGCCTTATAATTTATGCCTGTTTCAGCAATCCTGATCTACAGTTCCTGAAAGATTCTCAATACAGTCAGCTCCTCTATTCCTACTGTTTTCTCTGACTACAACACCTGCTTCCTACCATCCTCTGTAAATCCCATGAAACCAAGGTTTCTTAACCTTGGTGCTACTGACATCAAGAGCTGGATAACCCTCTGTTGTGGAAATTGTCCTGTTGACTGTAGAATGTTTAGCAGCATTCCTGGCCGCTAAGCTAGATGCAAGCCAGTACCGTTCCCCCTAGTTTTGACAAACAATGTCTAGACATTGCTAAATGTTTCCTGGGGAAGAAAACAGGCCCAAGTAACCACCTCTCCACTAACTTGTTAAAACTGTTTCTCATATATACATAAAAGATCTCAGGAAGAAGAGATAAGACTATTTTTAACACTAATTGCCTTTCAGGAGAACAACTAGGTAACTGGAGTGGGATGAAAAAAATTTACTTTTCACAACATTTACCATGTAGTTTTTAGTCTTGTACCTCTTCTAACCTCTCCACTGCTATCACACTGGTCTGAGCCACCTCTAACAACTGTAACAACATTCTAACCATCTTTTCCCTTCCTTTAGCCTTTCCTTCTTTGGCCCATTTTTACCAGTAGCCACAGTGATCCTTTTAAAACTGAAATCAGATCATATCACTCATTTGCTCAAAACCCTCCACTGTCCTCCTAGTATCAGAGAAACTCAAAACCTTACAACAATCTTCACACAATCGGCATCCTACTGCACCACTTTCTTTCTGATCTCTTCTCCCTAGTATCTGGTGCTTTTGTAGGTCAAAAATGAACAAACAGCAACAATTTTATAGATTGAACCTAATACTGTTTCCTTCACTACGTTTTAACGCTGGACTGCTTGCCATTCCTCCAATGTGCCAGGGTCTTTGCGCTTACTGTTCTCTGCTGAGAACACACACCCAGATGGCTCATATGGCTCACTCTAACTCCTTCAGGTCTTTACTTTTCAGGGTCTTCGCTGGCCATCCTATTCTTACCCACAGCACCTATTAATAGCTAATATTATTTAACTTCCATCTTGTTTATTGTCTCTTTTCCATCTTGATCAGTGGTTCTGAAACCTGAGTCTGCATCAGAATAATTTGGAAGGCTAGTTAAGCAGTTCTGTGATGGAGACTGAAAATGTCAATTTCTAACAACTTCCTAGGTGATGCGGATGCTATAGATCCAGGGACCACATTTTTAGAACGTGTGTTTGAGAATGTAAGTTCCATGAGGACAGAGATTTTTGTCTATCCATTGTTTTATCTCTAGGACTTGGCACACAGTAAGCACTTGCTGTGGTCTAAATGTTTGTCTCCATCAAAACTCATGTTGAAACTTTATCGCCAGTGTGGCAGTACCGAGAGCTGGAGTCTTTAAGTGATGACTGGATCCTAAGGCTTTGGCCCTCATGAATGGGTTACCATGGGAAAGAAACTGGTAGCTTTATAAGAAAGAGTTCTGGGCTAGCATACTTGGCCCCCTCACCATGTGGTACCCTGTGCTACCTCAGGACTCTGTAGAGTCCCTACCAGCAAGGTCCTCACCAGATGTGGCCTCCTGACTCAGGACTTTTCAGCCTTCATAACTGTAAAGAATAAATTTCTTTTCTTTACAGAATAGCCAGTTTCAGATATTCTGCTAGAGGTAACAGAAAACGGATTAAGACATACTGATATATGTAAATAAATGTATGGGTCCCATCCTGTTTTCATTGTAGCCTCTGATTCAGCCTATGATGCTAAACATCTACTGAACACTGTAGAATACAAACTGCGTAACTGTTATAGGTTAAACTGTGTCTCCCCAAAAGATAGGCTGAAGTCCTAATTCTAGTACCTCTGCGTGTGACCTTATTTCAAAATAGGGTCTTTGCAGATGTAATCAAGTTAAGATGATGTGATTAGGGTAGATCTTAATCCAATACGACTAGTAACCTTTTAAGAAGGGGATCACACCATATGAAGACAGAGCCACACAGGGATTATGTCATGATAACAGTCAGAGACTGGAGTGATAGCTGCAAGCCAAAAAACGCCAAGGACTGGCAGTAACACAAGAAGCTAAGAGGGATGGAACAGATTCTCCCCTTGAACCTCGAGAGAGCATGGACCTACCTATATCTTGATTTCAGACAGATACTTTGTCTCCAGAACTGAGACAATAAATCTCTTGTTTTAAATCACCCAGTTTGTGGTATTTTGTTACCGCAGCCCTAGAAAACTAATACAATGACCACGAAAGCAAATAACTATGCCAAGCTGTATTTAATTTCAAATTCTGCCTATTATCCAACATCCACTAGTTTAAATGTGCTTTAGTATACAGGTTTCCCATTCCAGAATCTCCCTAATTTTGCCTCTCTTTGCCCACAACATGCCCCTTCAATGAGCAAGGCAGCACATACTACAGGTGCTAATTTATTTGCTTTCCTTTTGTTTCTTCCACCTTCTTATGTGCTTCCCTAGATCACAAACACCAGTTTCTTTATATATATTTTTTCTCTCCAAGGGACACTTCCTGTTCTCATACATTACAGATTTTGGCATATATTTTCTCCTTGGACATTTGTATTAGCTGCAAAATAATTTAAGTACACATTGGAGTTCTTCTCTAACCAGGTTTTAAGATAAAAGGCTAACTTTTCATTTTATGGAACAAGTCCCCTTCAACCCCTCCCCCCCAGACATCCCTTTCTTCTTTTAAAAGAATGACTTAATCCCACTGAACCTGGAGTAAAAACATTTTTGTCATGCCTTTCTTTCAGCCTTGCTATAGTTTGTACACCAAACTCGTTAATCAAATCCTAAGAATCTTCTAAACGAAAAAATGGTTGTATTAGGAAGCTTAAACTTTTAAGCCTATATGAATTCAATTTCAGCATCAAGCTTTCCATTTTCTACTTAAGGTTTATTTATAGCTGCACGGTCACAAAAATTCCCATCAATGATTTTACCATACACGGACTCTACTTTAAATTACGATGACTTATAAAGTTAAACTGTATAATGTAATTTTAATTTTAGCACAAATCAACATATAAATAGCATATGCCCAGTGACATAAATTTTCATATTTCTATTAGGTAAACATGAACTTATTAGATGTACCCTGAATAAATTTGTGATACAATTCTAAGAATAACTGGATATTGAATTTACTCAGAAACATTGACCAGTATAGTCTTAAAAAGCATAATTAAGAAAAACTTTAATAGGAAACACAATATTCCTAAAATGCTTAATCCTAAGTAGAAAGATACACAAAAATACAAATTCCAGGCAAATTTAAGAGAGACATTTAATAATTCTCCACTAATACTGAAAAATTGTCTTTTCCTATGAAAAAATTTAAATGAGTCATACTTTCCTTACTAAATCATTGTTTTACTTAACATACGAAGAGTTAACTGCTAACTTTAAACTTCATATTCATTTAAACTGTACATCAATATAAAGGCCGGTAGAAAATATAGTTTACTATATACAATACTTAGAACATAGAGTATCATGTGCATCAAGCTCATTTGACATTTAACTAAGAGGGTGAAAAGCTGTCATCTAAGTACCTACTAAAAACTCAGATTCCCACTTTCCAAACTCACACCAGAAACAAACAACTTGAAATTATGCATAGCACTTTTTCCTGCCATCTAGGCAGAGGTATGTTCTATGCCCAACTTTTAGTAAATTAACATATTTCTGTCCCTTACATGTTGGCCTAATTATTCAGATTCATTATGGTTCTAAATTTACAACTTTTAAATTCATAATGAAATCAATCCATGGTTAGCACAATAGTTTTCTATCTTAAAAGTAAATACAGTAATATCTACAATGGATGTAGAGAAATATAGTAGAAATCTAGAGAATTTTTCCAGGATGTGTGGGTTTTTTGTTGCTGATATTGTTGTTTGTTTTAAATGGGGGATGGTGGGGGGTGGGGAGATGGTAAGGGCCAGTAAAGAATAAATCCACAGAGCTAAATTACAGTCATCTTTTAAGAGTGTACAACTTACCCAAATTCAAAGCAATATGGACAACTTGTCAACACCTACTAATCCCATCACAATTTGTTGAGGGGGGAGATGGGGTAGAGAGGCAAAAAAAATTTTTTTAATAAAAATTTTTAAATGCCTTTCTTCCTCCTCCTCCACGCAGCGAATGCCCCAACACACACGTATCTGGTTCACTCTGCCGACGGCAGGGAAACTTAAAGAAATAAATCAGCTACAGACAAACCTGATGATCCAAGCTAGCCCCAAGCAAGCTCCAGGCACTTCCAAAAGGAGCGCTGGGCGCTCAGGCGGCGCGGCAGCCGAGTGGCCCTCGGCGAAGGTGCCCCACACCTGGGCGCCGAGTCCGGCGGGACCCACAGGTCGGCGGGCGGGGACAACCCGAGAGGAGGGGCGGGGAGGGCCCGGCGGGACAGGACCGCTAAGTGGTCCCGCTAGGGTGCAGTCCGGGTCCCATTGCTGCCGCTGCTGCTGCTGCTGTTGTTGGCGCAGCGGCCGCCAGGCAGCGCGCGGGCAGAAGAGGGGCGCGAGCGGGCACAAGGGAAGGACCCACGACGAACAGAAGGATCCTGTCTACATGTCTACAAAATTGCGACCGGGTACGCACCCGGCCCTTGTGGCAGACAGCTGAGGCGCCGGGAGCAGGAAGTCCCCGCGCCTTCCTCAGGAGCCCGGACGCCCCCAGCCCGGCTCTGACCCCGAGACACCTGTTCCGCCGCGCCAGGGGTTTGCTTCTATCCTTCACGCTTCCCCACCAACCCGGAGATGGGGGAGGGCGAGGGGAACCGAGACCTTGGACCCGCAGCCTGAGGGCGCCTCCGCCGGCCGTACCTGACATCAGCCGCAGCTCCCTCTCGCCCCTCCTGGGGGGCGGAGAGGAGGGACAACACGGTACCGGCGACCTCTGCTTCTCTGGGCAGCCGCAGAAGTGGCTTGTGGCCGCTAAGCTGAGGCCGCCCGCTGCCGCTTAGATGATTCCCCGGCAGCGGCGGCGGCGGCAGCCGAGGCGGGCCCAGTGCTCGCTCCCGCCCGTTCGCTCCGCCCCTCCCCGCAGCGCTTCCTGGCCGCGGCCAGCCTACGGCGCAGCCGCTGCCCGGAGTCTCCTGGCGCTGACGTCTCCGCCGCCGCACCAGCCCCAGGGAAGGGTGGGGCAGGAGGGGCACGGAGGGCGGGGATACGGCGACGTGAGGACGCGGGAATTGGCCGCCGAGCGCACGCTCCGCCCTAATGCGAAGGGGTCTGGGAAGTCGGATCTTCCACGAGCCTTAGATTTCCCTGTAGCCCCCTTGCGGCTTGTCTCTGCTGCCCTCCACCTTTCTGATCCTGCTGTAAGGTCAGGCACTAACTTCCGGACCTTGAGCGGGAAGAAAGCAAGGAAACCACAGGGAATGAGAAAGGAGATGCCTGAGGGACCTTTGTCTGAGGTACAGGCTGTAACCCTGCAGGACTTTTGTGGCTTCTAGCCTGCTCTTAACCCGTTCATTTGTTTTTCCTGTTCTCTCCCGTACTCTCTTTACTCAGTATCTCTCTGGGCTTAATGAAAGGAAATAATGATTAGATGAAGTATCCAAACGGGTGCCGGGTCATCATGTGTGAACCAGGAAGAGCTGAACGATATAATGGTACCAGAAAGCTTTCTGTAGGCACACTTGGTCTTCGGTTCTGTCAGCGCTTCGGTTCTGTGGGTCAGTGGCCGGAAAAGCTTCTTCCGGGCTTAACTAAAAACTAAACATATCTCCCCTTTCGCTGGCCAGAGGGCTCTGAATGAGGAAGTTGTCTTTGGAAAAGGGGGAGGAGGCTGCCACCTATTGAGGCAATTCCACAATAGTCAGGTGAAGGTAAGGTATAGGCCTTACTGCGGTTAACCATTATCTACAAGACCAAGCTCCAGAATGGGAAAGCTACCCTGCTTCCTTTAAATGCCGTAATCAAGCAGTTCTTTAGTACTCTACAGCATGGTTGTTTAGAGTATGGGCTCTGAAATCAGACTGCCTTGGCTGGCGTCTTGGTATCTCCACCTACTGGCAAGTTGCTTAGAATGCCTGAGAGAAATAATGAACAACATACGTTATTGTTATTTTTCCTTTAATTTGCCTAGGTTCAGCTGTAGTGTGGTTTTTCAGGACATAGCATCAATATATCCAAAAGAATTGTAAAACATAAAGCACATGTAGTGATTTTAATACAGTTATTTCATTTTTTCACATCAGAAAACTGAGACCAGAAAGATAATAAACTGATAGGTCCATGTTAGAAGTGCAACTATCCTGATGTCCAGGTTATTGCTCTTTCCCTGGTTCATGGGTCCAGACTTCTGTCCCTTACATCCTTACCTCCATCCTCTGTGGCTCCCCAAGTTGTATATAGTTGTTGATCACTCTCTCCCCTCACCTTCCCACCATATCTGGCCGCCTTGCCACCATACCCTTCCCCTTGCCACCATACCCTCCCCCCTTGCCACTATACCTTTCCACCCATTGTAAAACAGGGATAGGAGACTCTTCCTGAGGTCAGTGTTCCAAGTAGAAACCAAAACTCACAACTCCTTATCTCGTTTTAATTTTATTAAAAGCTATAAGGAGTAAAGAATACAGGGAGCAAATGTAAGAAACCTTTCCAAAGATAAGTTCAGCCACAGCCTTACCCAGGAAAATTACTTGCTAGAAACAATAGTGGAACAAATCAGCCCCGTCCCCTCCCTGCCTTTATTTGAAAATAGTTTTTGTTTGTTTGTTTGTTTAGAGAGATAGGGTATTTCTGTGTTGCCCAGGTTGGAGTGCATTGGCTATTCACAGGTATGATCATGGCACACAACAGCCTTGAACAACTGGGCTGAAGGCTGAAGCAGTGTTCCTGCCGTAGCCTCCCCAGTGGTTGGGATTATAGGCACAGGCTGTGGCACCCAGCTAATAACTATTGTTTTATAAAATCAATACATGCTTATGCAAACAATTTCAAAAATTTTAAACAAAAATGCAAAGATGTTATAATTTGTCCAAATCTCATAATCTAGAGATAACCATTTCTTAAATTGTGTGTTACATTCTTCTAGGCTTCTCTCTAAGAATAAAAACACATATAGACATAGAAATACAATATTTCATCAATTGGATCTTATCTGCACAGTGAACAATATGTCATGAATAACATCATTTTAAAAGTTGCAGTGTCTGTTAAGTGGATGTATCATCATTTATCCAACCAATATTCTATTGATTGACATTTATGTTTCCAAGTTTTTACTATCAAAAAAAAAGTCTCTGATGAACATTGTTATCCACAGACTTTTGCACAATTGTGCAGTTATCTCCTTGGATACATTCCTAGAAGTGGCATTAATGTCAGCCAATTCTTCAACATTTTCAACTAGAGAATAAAAGTGGTTTCTTTGGAAAACGTACTTTATATGTAGGACTCAAAACTGACCAGATTATCCCATTTGAAACATATTTGAAACACAGATAAACCTCAGTATTATTGTTTATCTGATGTCCGTGTTTAATAATGCATGTCAGAGCTCCTTGGAGTAGGTCAGTAGACATTACTAGTGTCTAAACCAGTATCCTTTCTTCTTTACTAGTAGAACTCTGATTTCTTCAGGGTGACAATGTGTCTAGTTAAAAATATTCATGCCCCTAGACTTAAGTCATGGTTGGTCATGTGACCATCAGTTAAATAAAAGTGAATTTCTCTACAGGAGCCTCAAGGAAAGCTTTATGGAAGAAATATCACTTGAGTCATTTGATCTGCACCCATCCCTTTTTTCTGAACCTGAAACAGGGACATGATACTGGAGATAGAGCAGCCATATCTCACCCATAAAAATAAAAGCCACACAGACACTATTAGTAATGTAGGATGCCAGACGTGCCTAGGTTCATAGTTGCTTTGCCAGCTTACTAGCTCCGAACTGTCCACTTCTGGATTCGTTGTTAGGTGAGGAAGAACATATCCCTTCTATATAAGATTTGTTATTTGGGTTGTCTGTTATAAGCATGAAATGCAATTCTTAGTTGACATAAGATAGGTCAAGTCATCATTTATTTAGCACTATATATAGAATTTTTTAATAGAATGAGATGAAAATGGTGACAAAATGCAAACAAGCTAGCAACAACATTAAAACATTGTCTTCTCTAATAGATTTAGTTTTTTTAAAAAATATATTTTACAAATAATATTAACACCACTTTATAATAATTAAATTTCGTAAATTAAATTTTTTTTTCTTTTGAGTTGGGGTCTTGCTCTGTCACCCAGGCTGGAGTGCAGTGGCATGATCTCTGCTCACTGTAACCTCCATGTCCTGGGTTCAAGCGATTCTCCTGCCTCAGCCTCCCAAGTAGCTAAGATTATAGGTGCCCACCACCGTGCTCAGCTAATTTTTTGTATTTTTAGTAGAGACAGGGTTTCACCATCTTGGCCAGGCTGATCTCAAACTCCTTACCTCGTGATCCACCTGCCTCGGCTTCCCAAAGTACTGGGATTACAGGCGTGAGCTACCACGCCCAGCCAAATTAAATTTTATTAACTCACATAGTAGTATTAAAATATGTTCACAAATTATTTGATATTTCTTCCTTCAAAGGGTGAAACTTCATTCCCCTCACCTTGAGTTTGAAGTGTATTAAGTGACTTGTTCTCATGAATAGAATGTATTGGAAATGATGTAGTGTGACTTCTGAGGGGAAATCATAAAACATGCCAACCTTTTTATTCTTTCTCTGGGATTACTTGTTGGGGACAGGTAGCTATTGCATCAGAATCATAAGGTCACTCAGGCAGCTTACAAAGAGGCTTACATGGTGAGTAATTAAGGATTCTAGCCAACAACCAGTGAGGTGTTGAGGCCTTCTGATAACAGCCGTGTGAGTGAGATTGGAAGGAGATCCTCAAACCCCAGTCAAGCCTTCAGATAATTGCGTGCATCATGGTCAACATCTTGACTGTAAACTAGAAAGAGACCCTGAGCCAGAACCATTCAGCTACAGTGCTCCTGAATTCCTAGTCCACAGAAACTGTGAGATACTAAATGTTTAAATGATTGTTGTTTTAAGCCACCAAGTTTTGTGAGTTATGCAACAATAGATAACTCATACAGCTGGCTATAATAGAGCCTAGCACAATGCCTGGCACACATGCAGGCGTTTGATTATTTGTTGTTTGAATGAATAAATAATTGAATGAAGTATATCTTTTTCACTTTAGTGGGTAGCCTACAATGTTAATGATTATCTTTGCTACCAGACACCTGTATTATCTAAGGGTTTTTTGATCTCTCATAGAGATTTAAAGTGTGACTCTTACTGTGAGCTAAACTTTGCCAGTTGTGGAAGTAACATGGTTAATAGAACAATGGAATCCTTGAAGTTTGAATTCTGTCCCCAGTTTTTTTTTCTCAAAATTAAAAAAAAATTTTTTAATTAATGAGTTAACACAAAATTAAACCATATCTTGAAACCAGACATCCATTTTGTCTGCCATCTCCAATCAAATTACAGATTGACTCATAATACAAATTTGCCCAGAGGGCTTGGAATACCGTTTCACAAAGTTGACTGTATTCTTCCTCTTCACAAATGACCATTCTGATACATAGCATATTTAGCTACAAACGCCTCTGCTGACTCTCCTTGCAACATTTTCATGGCTCGCCAATGCATCTGTCTGCATTTCTCAAGTCTACCAAGGGGGCAGTTCAATTCTGCTTTGATGTAATCCATCTAAAGGTCAGAATCTACAGATCTAAATTCTCTCAAAGCCCTGTCTTGCAGGATTCTTGCTCCTTTTCAAACTGAATCATTTCCTGAAAAAGTCAACTGAAAATGGATGGCTTGCCTATAAACTTTTAAACACAGCTGTAGCCTTTTTTGTAGCCACCACTATGATAAGCCCAATCCAGCTATTTATCCTTCAGTGCCTCCAGATTGATCACTGATTAGCTGGATGACCTGTAGTAAGTTGCCCAACCCTTTTGAATCTCAATTGCCCTATCCACTAACTGGGGAAAATATACCCCAAAAGGCAGTCAG